GGGTTCGATCCTCAGCACCACATACCAACAAAGATGTTGTGTCCGCCAAAAACTAAAAAATAAATATTAAAAATTCTCTCTCTCTCTCTCTTAAAAAAAAAAAGTAAGTATATTAAAAAAAAAAAAAAAGGAATCTTAAAAAGAGCAGGGTAGAACTAGGGATGGTGCTCAGGGGCAGAAGGCTTGTCTAGCATGCGTGAGGTCCTGGGTTCAATCCCAGCACCAAAACCTCCCCCTACCAAAAAAAAAAAAAAAAAATGCAATCAAGTGCTTTGAGAGAAGAAGGCCCAAGAATGCCGGAGGGTCTGTAGGACATGACTAGTCACCTACCTCAGCAAAAGCCAGGTGGGAGTTGGCCAGGGAAGGCTTCCTGGGGGAGAAGACTTTTACTCTCTTGAAACTTAAGTGAAGTTGGGGAGTGCCAGGCAAGGGACACTACCTGTCCCTGGGACTCACGATTGGCGTATTCTTTCCTATGCTGTCTTGTTTCACTGCCTAACACATGTTCTGCCCCAAACTTGCCCAAAGGCCCCAGCCTGGTAAACAATCAGTACATTCTTCTCACTCAGCTGGAGCTGGGGAGACAGTTACTCCATCATGAAGCTCCCTAGAATTGGATCAGTCAGTGAGTCAGTCATCAAACACCTATAACCATAATCATGTTGTACAACCTCTGTGACAGTATTGGGCTCAGATCATAGCAACAGGCGCCCAGCAGCACTCATACTGCCCATGAACCTAACTGGAGTCCAGAGGAAGAAATAAACATTTGTTTATTCCCTTTCCCACTCCAAGCTCCTTTTGCTCCCCACATGAACTGTATCACCCATCCCCATCCCTACCACTGAATTAGSCCAAAATATGGCCTATGGGTTGGTTTCTTGTCTTAGCTCAGTATGTATACATATATCTATAATTACTTCTATGTTCACCTTTCCAAATAACCAATATTTGGTTTGATTTGTCAAAGTTTGTTACATTAAAAGTTTCCTTCTGTGAGTTGGGGTTGTAGCTCAGTGGTAGAGTACTTTCCTCGCACGCAGGAGGCCCTAGGTTTGATCCTCAGCACCACATAAAAGTAAATAAATAAAAATAAAGATATTGGGTCCATCTACAATAAAAAAACATTTTTAAAAAAAGTTTCATATTATCATTTTCTGTTTTCTTTGGTGCTATGGTTTGAATATGGTTTAATTGTGTCCCCTCAAAGGTTCATGTGGGGTGGCAGTATGGAGAGGTGGTAGAGACTCCTAATGGGAGGTCCTAAAGTCATTAGGAAACTACTTCTCCGGAGACCCCTTGAGCTCTTGTTAGAGAATTCTTGTAAAAAGAGCAAGTCATTTTCAGGATAATAGTCCTTGGAGCTCAGAAAGCCACTTACTGTTGCCTGGATGTGGGAGGAAACACTGAAGAATCAGGGGAAGCCCCTCTAAGGAGACAGTTCCTGAACTGAGCCCTTAGGATGATCCAGTTAAGGGCCAGTCCCCTATTCTCCTCTATGACTAGGGTTGGTGATTTGGAAAACAGACCTGGTGTTGAGATMTCTCTGGCAGTTCAACTGACCTTTCTATCCCAGAGGCTGTAACCAGGCCTGGTGGCTCACTTCAGTGCTTTCTCTTTTCTAGAATGATGCAAAGTAAAAATATCAGACACCCAGGTGTGCTTCCATCCTGATTGGGTCACTTGGGACTCAGGAAGGGCAATGTATCAAATGTACATGAGATACTTTGCTCAAATTCTTGTGCCTGGCACATCCCTGAAGGTACTGGCTAAAGAGATGTGGAGCAGGGAGGGACTACATGTTGGTTGGAAAAGTGCCCTACTGATTCTGAGCACCTGGATGGGCCTGTTCAGTAACCATCCTAAGGAAAGCATTTCATRTCTGGGACAGGATGTCTTCCCACTCCAGCACTCAGCTGTCTTCACCTGCATGTGTGCACACAGATGTATCAGCCCTGTGGGAAGCAACAGACAGGGGCCAAACCATGATCCTGGTCAGGTTCAGTGGAGGAGACAGTCAAGCAAACCAACCATCAAAACAGGGTGGCAGTCAAGTGCAGTGGTTGAAACCTGTAATCTCAGCTACTCAGGGGAGAGAAGCAGGAAGATGGCAAGTTTGAAGCCAGCCTTGACAACTTAGTGAGACCCTGTCTCAAAATAATAAAAAATAAAAAGGACTGGGGTGTAGCTCAATGGTAGAGCACCCCTGGGTTCAATCCCTAGTACTGGGATGGGGGACATTTTTGTAGCTCACAGTTTGGGAGGGTGAAAGCCCAAATGGCATAGAGTAGCAGGCTTGGCAAAGGTCCCATGGCAGATGGCAGGAGTGAGTCACGTTAAGTGGTCACGTCTCCACTGGGAAGCAGAGAGAGCTGCTGAGGCCAGCATGGATACAGTATTCATCTGTGGAAGGATCTTGCCATAGGTCCACTTCTGCAGAGCCTCCTCCCATGAAGATGGCATACAAATGCCAATTATTGGTGTTGACTACAGGCAAAGGCTGCCATATGGGAATCTATGATTTCCACTTGCTTCTAGGAGTATTTCTTCAGGCATCCTGCTCAGAACAGCCTGTGTGGACTTGGTCTGCAAACGCTGACAGCCCTTTCATCCTCTCCTGCTGCCTTGGGACAGCCTTGTTTGTGCACTGGGTCCTCCAAGCTGATTCAGTCTGCATCCTTTTACCAGATGGACACATGCGAGATTAAAAAGCCCTCCAGAGGGATGAGAGAAGGCAGGGGCAGGTGGGGTCCTATGTCCTACCATGTCCACAAATGGGCAGTCCTCACCACAGCCTCATGCTCATGAGACCAGGCGTGGGCAGAAGCCTAACAACACAAGTATAAGGGAGCGGCCATTAGCACTAATGAGGCAGGCGGCCTGAAAGCTTTTTACTCGGAAGCTGCTTGCCCACCCAGGGAACAGTCCGTCCGTTCAGCTCCCTTAGTTTCCAGGAACCCTGCGCAGAAAGGGGTTTGGGAACAGGAGAAGGGGGTGGGGATCTTGGAGAAGCCTGGAGAGAGAAGGGGGAGGGGATGGCAGTCCAGAGATGTAGGCAGAGGGCCTGTTTTTGGCTAGGTGAGCTTCTTCCACTCTTCTCTCCTCAAAGAAACCCAAGGTCTAGTTCTGTACCCCACCCCTGCACCACAACAGCCACTGGCCCATCATTGCCTTCAATGCCCTTGACCCAAGTTCCTGGAAACAAAGGAAACAACATGCTTTATAGGGGCTGAGTGAGCATTTCCGGGGCCACAAATTAAATTATACTCTCCTAGCCGCCTGCCTTGTTATTGCTAATGGCTCCAGCCCAGCGCATCCCCTATGGAAATTTTGGGAGCCTGGATACCCTATCTTGTTTCTAAATATTAATTGGTTCCTGGAGGCCTCACCCAAAATTGGAGATGGCCACTCCTCTAGGAGAGTACCAAAGTCTTGAGTTCCAGTGAGTGAGCCTGATCTGTGCCCCCACCCTCTAAACAGGGCCCCTCATGACTTAGCYGTAGGGTAGAGTCACGTGTGGGTCCTTCATTAGACCCTGACATAAAAGCTGAGGGCACAGTTGGCCAGGGACTCTCTAGGCAAGGACCAGCAAGCAGAGGTAAGTCCTCAGGTTGGGTGGAGAATCCTACTTTCCAGACATCTACGAGGTACTCCAAGGATGAGGAAGGACTAAGTGGTGGGTTTTTCTATGAGCCAGGCTATGCTGACTGCAGTGCTGCTAAGCTGTGCCCTGCTGCTGGCACTGCCAACCACGCTTGGGGCCCAAATGGGATTGGCACCCCTGGAGGGCATCAGAAGGCCTGACCAGGCCCTGTTACCAGAGTTCCCAGGTGAGTAGGGCTGGGGGATCCTGAACTCTCTCTGGCCACAAACTTGCCTGCCTGACATAATCCCTCCTTTCCCCSTTCCCAATCCCAGCCCCGGGATTGTGCATGGGGGTCCTGTCCTCACATTTTCTGCCCCAGGCTTAGGCCTGCAAGCTCTGCTAAAGAAGACTACTGCAGAACAATCAGAAGAGGCTCTGCTACAGAAGGCAGAAGCTTTGGCAGAGGTAAGCACTCAGGGAAAGGGTCAGGCTGCAGAGGGGGCATCAAGTACCACCCCTTCTCCCCACCTCTGGACCCCTTCAACAAGGGGCGACACAGCAGGGCACCCCTCCCTACACTCCATTGCCATCTTGCACAGCTTAGAGCAAGTGAGGTGCCTGAACCTGCCTTCAGAAGCTTGCGCTCACTCTCCTGTTCCCTTACCAATGCAGATGCTAGACCCGCAGAACCGTGAGCTCCGTTCCCCGCGCCGCTGTGTAAGGCTGCACGAGTCCTGTCTGGGACAGCAGGTACCATGCTGTGACCCGTGCGCCACTTGCTACTGCCGCTTCTTCAACGCCTTCTGCTACTGCCGCAAGCTGGGTACGGCCACCAACCCCTGCAGCCGCACCTAACAGGCTGACGTTTCAGCAAACGGGCATACGAATAAAGGATGGGATCAATCCCAAAGCTGTGGTTATTTCGAACGTGGTCGTCGAAGCGGGGTTGGGTTCTTGAAGGGATGGGGGTGTCGCCAAGTCAAGAAACCACATACACCCTTACCCCAGGGCCTCGCCTATCCCATCATCGGAGCCACATATACGCGTGCTTTTAGAGCACCAGGCACCTTTGCGGGAAGTAAAGGGGGCCTCAATACAGCCTTGGAAAATCTTCTACATCAAATGAGGGAAAAGCTGGGCGCAGCCCAGCCCAGCACGGGGGCTGTAACTCCCAGGTAGAGAATAAGCCTGAGTCCAGGACCCACTTGCGGCTAAGTGTGACCTTCTGCAAAGCCAGCCCCCACCGAACCTCTTTTCCCCTGGTTTAGACTCAACAGTGTGGAACCTTTACAAGTATAAGAATCATCTCCCGCTCTCACTTTTACCCAGCCGGCTTCGCAGTATCTGGTGCACCTAACCGCGGGAAGAGGGCCCCCACCGAATCCTGCGGCCACGGGCGCCACCATGCGGTGGTTCTCGGGCATTCAAGTAGCTCTTAGGCCATTGGTTGTGGGGAAGCCCATCTCCCTTCAGTGCGCAAGCGCCCCAGAAGGCCGCCTGCAGTTCACACCTGCGCTGCGCTTGCTCAGGAAACCACCCGGAAGCCGGGCGCTGCTCAGAGTCCTGCCCTATTGTGGTCACGTGAGGTCCTTGCACGTCACCTGACGCTCTTGACAGCCCTTTGCGGGCGCCGCGTCAGCTGATCTTGTAGTTGCGTTGTGTGCCGGCCGGTCGGGGCTCTCTGGTCCCGCCGACCCCGCCGCAGCCATGTCGTTCTTCCCGGAGCTTTACTTCAACGTGGATAATGGCTACTTGGAAGGACTGGTGCGCGGCCTGAAGGCCGGGGTGCTCAGCCAGGCGGACTACCTCAATCTGGTGCAGTGCGAGACGCTCGAGGGTGAGCCRCGGGCCCAAGCCGTGAGGCCTTGAAAGGCCAGGCTGGAGGCCGCCCTGGGCCGGGAAACCGGAAGCAGGGGGGGGTCTTTCTGGGAAACCGGGAGTCGATGGCGGGCGGGAGAGAAGGGGATCTGCCTATAGCTTCGGCTTGGCGTGGGCCTGGACATAAACAAGGCTTTGAGGACTGCAATGGTTCGCATCTGCTTGGACTGGCTCTTCCCGGATTGTGCTGGTCATGTAGTAACTGGGGGTCTCGGGAGTGGTTGGGTCTTGCAAGGTATAAGCATCTTCATGGTGACGTAGTCAGAGAGCTGTCCTGTGGCAACGTTTAGGGAAGCTAAGCAGAAAAACCTCCCCACTCCCTAGGCTTTGGAATCATCGTGTGTTGGCATTCGCCTGCCTGGGGATTGCTGAGCCAGTTTAGCGAGAAGTTCTTTTCAACTCTGAACCSCCGGCTGCGCAGTGTCTCCTAAAGAAGTGTTTGGGAAAACAAGGGGTGGCCCCGCAAATCTGGAAGTTCATACACAAGTATTCGTCTAAAAATCCCCCTCAGCAAGGGTGGGGGACGGGTGTCGGGACAGAGTTTCTTACACAAGAGTAGTCAGAAGCTGGGTTCCCCTTTCTTTTAGCTCGCTGCTCCAAAGTGAGAATGTTGCAGCTGCAACAGATGTCCTAATTCCAGGTCCCTCACCTCCCCCAGATGGTAGTAAAGGGCAGGAATGTGTGTTCCCATCCCTGTCCCCCTAGTGATACCTTTAAGCAGAGGTGCTTATAGCTGAAGGAGGAAGATGGCCAGATGACTCACCCACTGTAGAAAATGATCTCATCAAAAATTTTTGAGGTTAAAAGTGAGCTCAGTTATTATTTAACTTACAAACTAGACGAGTCAAGTGAAAATAAGTACTATTAAGATATAAAACTTACTGAAGTTAAAGTATAATAATTGTAGTTTTTAATATTTTAACATAAAACTTCAATAAAAGTTTACTTATGTGAGTGGAATGGGGAATGAGGGGAGGGGTGGGGACATGGCTCAGTGGTAGGTGTTTGCCTGCTGTGCCTGAAGCCCTGGGTTCCGCCCCCAGCACTGGGGAGAAAAAGTTCCCAGGGAATGAGGGGAGAACACTTCAGGGTGCTGGGCTCAAGGAGCCCCGCCAGCAACCTGAATTCATTGTGGGAAGAGGAGAAACAGAGGGAGGCTGCCTGGGGCAGGGCATAACACCTAGTTGGCAATTAATATGAATTTTGTGGACTGGGACTGGAGGAAGATATTTGCTTAAATCTAAAGGTTAATAGCATTGATCATCACCTGGCATTCAATTGCTTTGTTTCTCTTTCATTTTTTCTTACTCCTGCTGCTGCCTCCCYCTCCCCTGCACATCTTCTAGGACCACAGGATTCCCATCTTCCCAGCATCCTCCATAATCCTCCATAAATATACTAAGCCATTCTTCCTGCAACACTCTCAGCGCGTGGCTCATTTGAACATTTAATATGGCATTTTGGGATCCCTTTTTTTTTGTCACAAAAGCCATCTCCCCCAGGACTTGGTGTGGTGGGATTCCGGAGTCAGGCAAACTTGGGTTTGAATTCCAACCCTACCAGTTACTGGATTATTTAACATCTCTGGGCCTTGGTTTCTTCAACTGTATATTAGCAGCATCTATCTCATAAAGAGTGGGAGATGTCAACRAGCTACTGTGTGTAAAACATGTAGCCCAGCACCAAGAACACAGAAAGCTCCAAGGACAAAGTGAGCACTCAGTACATGTTTGCTTGTGTTTTCCATATTATTTTGCCTTTTGCTCCCTTTGCCTCCTTCTTGTTTCCATGAAGGACAGCCCCAATATCACCTCATCTTAGAAACTCTCATTGGTCAGGCTAGGCTAGAATGTTGTTCCCTCCACTGTTGTTCCCTCCACTGTTGTTCCCTCCACTCATTCACAACTCATATGGCATTTGGCAGTGCTACTTTTCTAGAAGTTTCTTTTTTTTTTTAAAGAGAGAGTGAGAGAGGAGAGCGAGAGAGAGAGAGAGAGAGAGAGAGAGAGAGAGAGAAAATTTTTTAATATTTATTTTTTTTTTAGTTCTCGGCGGACACAACATCTTTGTTGGTATGTGGTGCTGAGGATTGAACTYGGGCCGCACGCATGCCAGGCGAGCACGCTACCGCTTGAGCCACATCCCCAGCCCCTCTAGAAGTTTCTTGACATAGAGTTTGGGGTTCTTGGGATTTTGTATATTGGGGATGCTCAGGACTTTTCAAGGCTGAGGTTAACTAAAAGCAAGGAGTGACCATAAATTTTATTTGCCTCCTACAGAAAGGCCTTTTCTGCTTCAGAAGATGATACCAAAGGCCTGGCCTCTAGGCTGCTGTTGCTGGATATTTTTGCTTCCCCATCCCTGTGAGAAGAGGGAGAGAAGCTGGAAAGGAAGGTTGTAGTCTCTAATGAGAATTTAGGTGTGTGCTAGGGGATGAAGTTTCCAAGGAACATGTTTCAGGTGTTGGACAGTTCTCAGAAGGTGTGGGGCATTTGGCAAGGGGTGTTTATTTGTTTTGTAAGGCAGGGCAAGTATAGTATCCTGGCCTTCTCTGGGTTCCATTCTAGCAGGGCATCTTCTGGCTTATAGCTGCCTCCTTCTCTCTTAGGACCCCAGAAACCTATGCATCCTCCATTATGCATGTTGCCTGATTGTCTATTCTCAGAAATAGGAGAAAGACCCAAGAGAGGTCATTTTTCTTGGATAAACTGAGAGGACAGAGGTGGGTGGTTAGAAAAACTCTTTATGGCTCTTAGATTTTCTGGATGTGTTAGATATCTCCTAGAGGCTGGATCCTGTCCTAGGAACAGGAGGAAGCAGAGGCAGATCAGAGATTATGAGGAAAAATTATACAGTATTACTTTGTTTTCAYTCATTCAGGTACTGAGCACCTGTTTATGCCAGGCATTCCAATAGGGGTTGAGATCCTTTGCTGAATGATTTTCTCTTGAGCTTCATAGTCTGGAAGTAGACATCTGCAGAGCAGGGGAAGACCTTAAGAAATCAGTGTAGTGTAGTGGTTACAGAGGCAGGATTGCTAGCTACCTCATTGCCCCCATGGCCATAAGTAAGGTATGTAACCTTTTTGTCTTGATTTTCATCATCTCTAAATTTATAGTAATAATAGCACCTACCTCATGGGGTGGTTATCACTTAAGCAAGATAATCTCCATTAAATTGCTGATTAGTCCGTTTTTGTTGTAGCTAATAATACAATACCACATGCTGGGTGAGTTATATAGAAAGGAACTTTATTTTGGCTTACAGTTCCTGGAGGTACAAGTTTGAGGACCACCACGTCAGAGTCTGAGGTGGTGCTGGGCATTACATGGCAAGAGATAGGAGCACATGTGTGTATGTATGACTTCTGTTTTCTTTCTTTGTTGGAACTGGGGATTGATTCCAGGGTGCTTTACCACTGAGCAACATTCCCAGCTCTTTTTCATTTTTTATTTTGAGACAGGGCCTCTCTAAATTGCTAAGGTGAGCCTTGAATTTGCAGTCCTCTTTCTTCAGCCTCCCAAGTCACTGGGATTACAGGTGTGCAACATCACACCTCTCCCTTTTCTTGTAAAACCACCAGGATTCAATCTTGGGTGCTCCACCCTGATGACTTTAATCCTAATCACTTTCCTGAGGTTCCACCCTCTAAGCACTGTTGTCAGATTAAGTTTCCATGCTCTTAATATCTTACAATGGGGATTAAATAACACATGAAGCCTTGAGGGACATTCAAACTATATCCAAACCATAGCAAGTGCTTAGCATGAACTTGGGTCATGGTAGAGTCTTGGTGTGTTAGCCCCTAATTTTGTTGTTGTTATTAAGTAAGAAAAAAAAAGATCAAATATAATTTACAGTGAAGAAGTGATAGGGAATCTTCTTTTGACAGCATGGCTGGTTAAAGTTCTGCTGATATGTGAAGAATTAGGAGCCAGTCATTTAGACAGCTAGGGGGAAAAGCATTTCAGACAGAG